AGTTAAACCAAATAACAATAAACATCAAAAACTAATATACAGTATTAGAAAAGAAGAAATATTTAGCTAAGTGTGTGGAAACCCAAAAGTATTTTGACAAGTATGCTTCAGGACAAAAGTCACTCAGTAGCCCAGATCGACCTGTCCAGTACGTGTCACTCACTTCCTGAGGCTGCCTCTATTTCACACTGTCAGTTTATCTGTGAGCATCAGCCGAGGTAGACATAAGCTGGTATGTATGTGTACTGCCCTGTGCAGTATATAGTTAGTATTTACCCACTGTTACTGTGAATTTGTAGCTATTATTAATTTTATATATAATGTATGTGTGGTTCTTACGTTTTCAATGGTTTTGCTAGGATTAGCAGAGTATGCGAGGCTGTACACGTTCACGTTTAGCCATATATATCAATAACAACATTTTGTGAAAGGGGTAACATGCTTTATGTGGCATGTTAAATTGGGTAACAAGCTGAAAAAGTTTGGGAACCACTGTTTTACATGATGGTAGGATTGCTGGTGTCTTTTCTTTGTATCATAAACATGGAAGATTTCAGGTACGTCTTGCTACTTCTACTTACACTTTGGTCACACTACACATACATGTACAAGCATATATATACACACTCCACTGGGTTTTCTTCTTTCTTACTAGTTCTTGTTCGTGTTTCCTATCTCCATGGGGAAGTGGAACAGAATTCTTCCTCCGTAAGCCATGCGTGTTGTAAGAGGCAACTAAAATGCCGGGAGTTAGGGGCTAATAACCCCTTCTCCTGTATAAAGTACTAAATTTAAAGAGAAACTTTCGTTTTTCTTTTTGGGCCACCCTGCCTCGGTGGGATACGGCCGGTTTGTTGAAAGAAGAAATATGTCGTGCCGCATAGGTAAAACCGGTCAATTAGCAAGAACTCATTTAAAATTAACTTTTTAAAATTTTCTCTTAAACGTTAAAGATGCATTTTTTTCATTAATGTTAATGTAAAAGTTAATAATTTTGTAGCAAAATAACCTTAGAACTTACCCATTACAACAAAAGCAATTTAATTTAGCTTAATCCAACTAAATATATTTTAGATAAGTTTACATTAATAATAAACAATGAAATATATTTTTGTCGTTAGGTTCAGATTGATATTTGCGAAATTGTATACACAAATTTTCGCTTGCCTTATACGGCAAGAAGAGCGTTGCTATTTAAGCCAAAATCGCAAGTTTTACCTATATGGCACGACATAAATATATAAGAATGGGGCTATGGTAGGTACCACCCAATATATTTATCAGGTACCCCCACCCCCTCTTCCCCAAACCTGACACTAGTCAATATGTCACTGATCAATACTCCGTCACTGGTCACTTCATGTTACTAGTCAATACTCTGCCAGTTTGGTCAGTACGCTGTCACTTTGATCAATACCCCACTGTCTCAATAGTTATTCCCTCTGTCACAAGCCAATACCCTCGGTACTCTTTCGTGGCTTGAAAATACTATCCCATATACTCCTTGCTTGCCTCTAGAGAAGAAAATTTTATATTACCACAAACTCCTTAACATTTTATAAAATTAAAGGAACTAACCAGTGATGGGATGATACCCAAATTCTCACCGATACCGATACTCAATTTTAGGCCAATACCGATGCCATCAAAGTTAGTCGATATCCTCCGATACCATTAAAACCGACACCACCCAATATTTTGGCACATCCCTAGTATTGACGATATTTTTCTGTGAACATTGAAGAGTATGACGTGCATACTAAGGACTTCTCCCAAAATCTATATCACTTTTAAGTAAGTAAATTACTTTTTGTCTCTGGGAGCGCTAGGATAACACAAGCAACCAGGTGTTTCTAAAATTAATCCAGGAAATTTATTAATCTGATTGTATGTTAGTGCTGTTAAGAAGCCCTTTAAGAAAATTTGAAGATCAGGGAAGAATTAGAGAAAAGATATTTGGGTACAAGAGGTTTTGTCAAGAAGTGTGTGAGGATGGAGGTATGACACACTGCAGCCTAGTGCCAACTCTTACCTTCCTCCTGAAGATAATCAGTGTGTTACTGATCAAGCTGCAAAGAAAAACTCTTACAATATAATTCGTACTGAACCCATTATGTAAGGAAGAAAATTTACATGACATTTTGGTTCTTCCTACACTATTAATTAGCCAAATTTTGACAGACCGAAACGTCGTCTAAAGATTCCTCTCTAAATTGCAGGTTAATTGCGAATCATTCCAGCCAGGGTATTACAACTTTTATTCTTCTTGAACAACGTTAAGCTTGTAGTTAAGTCAGTTTAAAGTCTAGACCAAGTCAGAAAACAGATTTGGGTTCTTTGCCATTTACATTTACACAGCATGACCACAATGTGTTCAACTGAGTGAGACGTAGTTAATCACTAACATTCGTACCTTCTTCACCCCCCCTTCCCCAACACAACTAAGTTAAGATAAGATAAGATTTCGTTCGGATTTTTAACCCCGGAGGGTTAGCCACCCAGGATAACCCAAGAAAGTCAGTGCGTCATCGAGGACTGTCTAACTTATTTCCATTGGGGTCCTTAATCTTGTCCCCCAGGATGCGACCCACACCAGTCGACTAACACCCAGGTACCTATTTGCTGCTAGGTGAACAGGACAACAGGTGTAAGGAAACTTGTCGAAATGTTTCCACCCGCCGGGAATCGAACCCGGGCCCTCCGTGTGTGAAGCGGGAGCTTTAGCCACCAGGCCACCAGGCAAGTTATTCATACTTCCAGTATGGTATTCTGTAGTCACTCAGAATCCTGTGCATTCAAAACAGAAGCTATGAGATTCTCTGTTAATAAATTATCTTAATGTGGACCTAAAACAAAAAACGTGAAAAAAAGACTCAAATTCGACATGTGGCAATTAATGTTATATTAAATTATGTATTACATTATGAGAGTGCTAAACCCAAAGGAGTCATACAAAGCTTAAGAGGAATGAGAGGTAAATAGGTTCGATTCAATGGGAGGCTAGGACCAATCAATTCCTTGGATCAAGATCCCTTCACCGGCGTTATCTCCCGTGAAGGGTATATTATCCATTACAAAATTGACTTACGCCGCTCCCACCGCCTCTGACTTGTCCAAGATAAACCTTAAAAAAGACCCTCCCCCTTCCCTCTAAGCCTCACGGACACCCGCTAAAAATGAACAGTGAAGTCACACACCAGATGAAAAGTGACATTCGTTCTCCCAGCTTGGCACCGACCCTGCGCACTTGGCAACTTTTTTTTTTTTTGGTACATCTGTAGTGCGCCCTTGTGTGATTCTGCATTCATAATCATATTACGTGAAAACTTGCAGTATGCTGCCAATGTAACCCTACTGTAGGTGATAATTACATTGCAGGAACACCCTCAGTGTGTGCCTACCCTATTTTAGACGATAGATTCATGACAACAAAAGCTAACTAAATTTCCCCGTCATTCCATTGCATCGGAACGAAATCTGTCAGTCTGAGCTGGAAGCCTTAAAATACCCCGATTTTTCCACTGTGTTCGCTTGGTATAAGAGTTTTAAAGGTTTTTATTCCAGTAGAACTGAAGTTGTTACTGCGTAAAAAAAATTAACATCTCTTAGTTTTTTAGGTGTGCCACCTGAGTGGCTAGTTTATTACATACTCGCAGCTCATTCTGTAAGAGATAGCGCATAAAAGGTCACAATGGATCTTTCTCAGACTTCACTGAGCATTGTTACATCACTAGAAAGAAATATGTCATTTCATATTGTACAATTATTTCATATAGTTGTTGTACACAGTACAGTTACTAAGGAATACAATCTAAAAAATATATATCTTATTACCACTAAAAATTAAAATTTACACTTATTTCACATTGTTGTACACAGTGCAGTAAGAGGTATGCCTTGATACTGAAGAGCTCTTGATCCTAGGAATTTGAGATACTCTTCCCATTCCCAGTCGCTGTTTGATCCATACGGGTTTAGCGCCTCCCCGCAAGGGTAGAAATGAAGTTTTCCAATGTATTTTATTCAATAATGTTGTAATTTTATGTATAAATTTTCCGACTCGGAATCCATTATTACTATTTCTACCCTGATTTGATATACTAACCATCTTGAGGAGTGTGGTGATGGTGGTGGTCTAGACCTGACAACACGGGGCATAGATCTTGTAACCAACAAAATTTAACATCCATATTCTAGAGATAAATGGTAAAAAATACTGACTCTCCACTCTCTGTACACTAATGTACTCTTTGTCCAGGTAGATCTGTTTGTGACTTGATAAAAGCTCACTGTGTGGGCGAAACGCAGTCAATAAAGGAAGCGCTCTCATACCAGGTAAGAAATGAGTCCTAACTGATCCCACGAGTTAATAAGTAAATAAAATTTTAGTAAATTCATTAAATACTTAGACCACTTCAGTTTCTGCAGTAAGAAAAATTACTTAAATACTTTATCTTAGCCTGGAAAAAGAAGCATTTTCTCATCTTACCCGAATCAGTCACTTAATATCACACCTCATTAAATATCTAATACAATTATGCAAAGTCACCTGGGGAACGGAAGGCAACTAAGGTCGATCCGAGGAGGGGGGGGAGGCATAAATTTAATTCCTAAAATCAAGAGCCCCTCATTTATTTTATCAGGGGAAGCGCTAAACATGTTGGGGTTATGTGTCTAGGGCACGGGAGACCTTCAGGCTCGATACATGGAAGGAGAGGATAAGTCGCGTTCCTTGGATCAAGAGCCCTTCACCAGCATCACGGCATCCCCCCCCCCTTGAAGAGAAAGAGTAAAAATCAACTGAGTTCTCTAAAGTGTATTATCAGTACATTCAAATACACGAGCTACAGCTGTATGGGGCTCATGCAGCGCACTCACAAAATTACTCTAAACAAGTGTCATAAGAAGGGTCAGTTTTGGGGTCCAATTCTCAGACTCACTGAATAATATGTATATGCAATAAATATATAAATTATTAAATAATTATATTTGCCACTTACTTATTTTGCTGCAGGTTGCACACGAGTGTTTTGGGCCCAAAATTAAGTGAAATTGTAAGTGGGCGCCTTGCAGAATATCACCACACCTGCAACGTTTAACTTGCATAACTACTGGTTTAACACAATGTGTAAGATATATAACTACTGGTTTAACACAATGTGTAAGATATATAACAACTGGTTTAACACAATGTGTAAGATATATAACTACTGGTTTAACACAATGTGTAAGATATATAACTACTGGTTTAACACAATGTGTAAGATATATAACTACTGGTTTAACACAATGTGTAAGATATATAACTACTGGTTTAACACAATGTGTAAGATATATAACTACTGGTTTAACACAATGTGTAAGATATATAAGTACTGGTTTAACACAATGTGTGAGAATTACATTATCTGAATGTTTATACACAATGTTAAAAAGATAAATTTACTACTTTAACCATGTTAAATATAAAGTAGGATTTGACACATGGTGCAAAAATTCCCCATTTACCTGAATGTAATCATATGCTACATTAACATAAAATTATACAGAAGATAATATTAATTTTGACAGTATACTAAAAAGTAAGAATTTACAACTAGATCGAAAAATGTCTTCAACTACCACTCACACAATTTGCTTAGACTATTAAATTTTCAAAAAATCATGTTATACATGGAATACTGCGGTTAAATATATAAATTTGAGGTGGACTGCTGTATCAGAATTAATAAAGGATATGAATCATACAATTTACTACATGAAGGAAAATATCTTAATATCACTCACCAATTTGACTGGAGATTAATGTGCATAATACTCAGAAAACCTCAGTCTATACATGAAATAACACTGGCCAGAGTTAAACATAACAGACTTATCTGAGGTTCCTGGAGCTGTCTTGTCCAGTCGCCTGATATCTCAAGTTATGCAGGAATGCACATCCAACAATTTCGCCTCCTATTTGAGAGGTGTCAGCCCAATTTTACCTCTAGAGCACGAAAATTCTAACCAATATTCACTAATGTTAGTGTCCAATTCAAAAACAAAAATGGCGAGTGTCTTCTGCGCAGACGCAGGCTCAGTTTCCCATTTTCCATAACATAATTTTTATTAAATACAATATAGGCCATCTATTTACCTACAAATTACCGTATTTCCGGAAAATATATACAGTATTTTCCACACAATGTGTAAAATATATAACTACTGGTTTAATACAATGTGTAAGATATATAACTACTGGTGTGGAAAATTAAATTTACCTGGATGTAACTCATAAGATACATAACAGTAAATGGTAACAAAGATAATTATTCTTTATCAAGGTTACAGAGACAAGTAGGAATTTTAGGACACCTAGGTCGCAAAAAAGGTCCTCCTTCGATACCTACGATAATCTATCTCTCCACAAGTCACTCTGGACCTATATTAATTTCAAATGAAATATACATCACCAGGAATTCGGGTAAAAACATTAATATAATATGTGGACTGTATATTAAATTTAAAATGTGAATACATATACATTGAAGGAGAATTTATAATAATAAGACTCGTCAATTAGTCTGGAGATTACGGTGTGTCATACAAACCCCCTTGCCTAAATTATGAAGAAAATACTGGCCAGAATTTCAACACAAAATAGACATGACTTAGCTGGGGTTCCAAAGCTGTCCTGTCCATCTGCTTAATGCTTTGTTGGATTTGCAGTCCTGCTCATGCAGGACTGCAAATCCAACAATTTTGGCTCCTATTTGAGAGGTTTTAAGCCCAATATAACCCCTAGAGCGACGAAAATTTATGCACATTTCACTATCATGCCTTTACCACATTCAAAACAATGGCATCTCTTCCCCAGCGACGCTAACCCACTGTCACTGATTCATTTTTCTATTTACAAATTAATTTTTATTAACTACAATGTATTTCACTAATTTACATACAAAAACACTGTATTTTCGAAAACATACAGTATTTTCTACAACTGGTTTAACACGTTGTGCAAGATATATAACTATGTACTGGTTTAACATATACTGCATCAATTATTATTATAATCAAAACTAAGCACTAAACCCACCAGTCATACAGCACTTGTGGAAAATATTGCATATTTTTCGAAAATACAGTGTATTTTGTATGTAAATTTATGGAATATATTGTAGGTAATAAAAATTAATATGTAAATAAATAAAGAACCAGCAAAACTGGTGAGCGTTGCTGGGGAAGGAGAGACGCCATTGTTTTGAACTGGGCTGAAGGCACGCGAGTGAAATGTGCATGAATTTTCGTCACTCTAGATGTTATATTGTGTTTAAAACCTCTCGAATAGGAGCCGAAATTGTTGGATTTGCAGTCCTGCATAACGTGAACATCAGGCGAGTGGACAAGACAGTCAAGGTCCCCAGCTAAGTCGATGTCTATTTATGTTGAAATTCTGGCCAGTATTTTCTTCATATTTTAGGCAGGGGGTTTTGTGTATGACACACCAAGTAATCTCCAGACTAATTGGTGAGTGGTATTAAGATAAATTCTCCTTCAATGTATATGTATTCATTTTTTAAAATTTAATATACAGTCCACATATTTATATTAATGTTTTACCAGAATTCCTGGTGATGTATATTTCATCTGAAATTAATATAGGTCCAGAGTGCCTTGTGGAGATAGAGATTGTAGTAGGTATCGAAGGGGGACATTTTTTGCGATCTAGGAGTCCTGAAATTCCTACTTGTCTCTGTAACCTTGATAAAGAATAATTATCTTTCTTATCATTTACTAGTATGTATCTAATGAGATTCATCCAGATAAATTTTAATTTTCCATAGCACTGCTACTGTATCAAAGCACGTGCAAATAATATGGTTATAAATGTGACATCAGAAAGTTAAACGGTACACTAAATTATAATCAGGAGGAAGTGCTTAACTCGTAAGAGTGATAAAACGTATTGCGAATAGGTGACAATAAGATTCGATTCAAGGACAGGTCCACTTCCTTGGATCAAGAGCCCTTCATTAGCATCAAGGCACCTTCTTAGAAGCTGTACGCTGCAAATACATATTATAAGTTTGGGTAATTATCATCCAGTATTATATTATTCACAGGGAAGCGCCAAACCCGGTAGGGTTATACAGCATCTGAGGAGGGAGAGGGTAGCTCAAATTCCTTGGATGAAAAGCCCTTCTGCATAAAAGCAACTGCTTATCACCTAGCAAATACTTCGGTGTTCCTAAGGATAACTTACTTCCTAGGTATATTATATCAAATTTACCAGTAAATATACTTTTCGAGAACTTTATAATGTTTTAACAATTGTTACAAGTGTATAGAAAAAGAATTAACTCACCGTGTTGTATGTCATACACCGGCCCGGCTCTGTGCTGTGACATTAAGAAGCTGGCAAGATTCCATGCAACACTAATACACAGTTTATCAAGGTTAGTGGTGTCAGATGTATATGGAACCAGGTATACACACTGGTGTATTAAACAGTACAACCTCCTCCTAGTGTTGTGGGGTGACTACCGTCCCCGGCAACTCAGTCACTTGTTCTTACACCAGTTTATCATCACCTCTTCTCATATGCAATGTATTTTATTCCTTTATTAGGTCACTAGAGAAGGAACAAGTCATATTTTACAACAATTAATGTGTTGTAGGTTGGTAAACTTTATGTGAGTGTACTTGAATGATGTTTTCTCAGTGTTGACACGTCAAACGCTTCTGGCGGGTTGCTTAAATCTTTCTGGAGCCTCAGTCAGTTATGACGAATTTACAGCTGAGATCAGCCAGGTGAGTATGGTTTTTCCTAGCGCATAAATTTCGAATTAGGCATCACAGTGTCCTGTCTCATCCTTACTGTTATATATTTTAAAAATAATAATAAAGATAAAATACAGTAATAATTTTGCTTGTTAGCAACAAGCAAAATTATTACTTACGTGCAAGGGAGGGGATGGACGTTGAAATATTTCACCTTTCTACACTCACTGACAAGCCAGAACAAGACCACCTCAATATTTCTACCAACAATGACAAGCCAGACCAAGACCAATGTTTGCAAGGGTAACCTTCCCAGGTTCTTGACCCCAAGGAAATGTCACCTTACTCTCACTGCTCTCTCTCTTACCACCTTCCCAAAATTAATACTGTTTAACCTTACAAGGAGGCGTGGGGATTCCTTAATTAATGCCGGTGAAGGAGGGGGGGGCTTTCAATTTTAGAATTTGGAGTTATCCTTCCTTTTCTTGGCTCGAACCTGATTACCTCCCATATAATAATAATTCCGGCATGAATGATACCCTCTGCGAGCTATCATCATGCATACTATAGACTCCTATAGTTTTGCCACTTCTCCATGATGATGATAGTGTACCCTAGCTGGGCTAGCAGCTCTGGTCGGCCACCTGCTGCTGGCAGACTAGACAAGATCATGTGTGAGCTTAATGATCCATCATATATTTTGCCTAACAATATTTAATTACATGTAAACTACATTATCTTTATAATACATAAAATAATTTTAATTTAAACACATACAACCTACATTGCCTTCATTCAGTAGGACAGTTCAAAGACTTAGTGATAAGACCACGAAGTTAATGTCTGACAGGACAGCTAGTGTTTTATGCTCTTAGAATCAATATATTGCACGTGGATCTCGCAGTGAGCTGGGTGTACCAGTGGGACTAGTGTTGTTGGATTTAAAGCTACTTATTGTACCTGGGTGTTCCAGTGGAGCTAGTGTTGTTGGATTTAAAGCTAATTATTGTACCTGGGTGTACCAGTAGAACTAGTGTTGTTGAATTTAAAGCTACTTATTGTACCTGGGTGTACCAGTGGGGCTAGTGTTGTTGGATTTAAAGCTACTTATTGTACCTGGGTGTACCAGTGGGGCTAGTGTTGTTGAATTTAAAGCTACTTATTGTAGCTGAGTGTACCAGTGAAGATAGTGTTGTTGGATTTAAAGCTACTTATTGTACCTGGGTGTACCAGTGGGGCTAGTGTTGTTGGATTTAAAGCTACTTATTGTACCTGGGTGTACCAGTGGGGCTAGTGTTGTTGGATTTAAAGCTATTATTGTACCAGGGTGTACCAGTGGGGCTAGTGTTGTTGGATTTAAAGATACCTACTGCACCTGGGTGTACCAGTGAGCTAGTGTTGTTGGATTTAAAGATACCTACTGTAAAACAAACCATACCACGGGTGGGGTTTGATCCCGCGGTCAGAGAGTCTCAAAACTCCAGACCGTCGCGTTAGCCACTGGACCAGGTAGCCACAGTGGTGCCTTTGCTAACCTTCCTATGGTGTAGAAATATACCTAGTTGGACGACTCTTATTGTGGCTAGGTGGTCCAGTGGCTAACGCGACGGTCTGGAGTTTTGAGACTCTCTGACCGCGGGATCAAACCCCACCCGTGGTATGGTTTGTGTGCAATCGTGTCAATACGATTTCGTGAGTCATACCTACTGCACCTGGGTGTACCAGTGGGGCTAGTGTTGTTGGATTTAAAGCTACTTATTGTACCTGGGTGTACCAGTGAGCTAGTGTTGTTGGATTTAAAGATACCTACTGTACCTGGTTGTACCAGTGGGGATAGTGTTGTTGGATTTAAAGCTACCTATTGTACCTGGGTGTACCAGTGGAGCTAGTGTTGTTGGCTTTAAAGATACCTACTGTACCTGGGTGTTCCAGTGGGGATAGTGTTGTTGGATTTAAAGATACCTACTGTACCTGGGTTCACCAGTGGGGATAGTGTTGTTGGATTTAAAGATACCTACTGTACCTGGGTGTACCAGTGGAGCTAGTGTTGTTGGATATAAAGATACATACTGTATCTGGGTGTACCAGTGGGGATAGTGTTGTTGGATTTAAAGATACCTACTGTACCTGGGTGTACCAGTGGGGATAGTGTTGTTGGATTTAAAGATATCTACTGTACCTGGGTGTACCAGTGGACCTAGCGTTGTTGGATTTAAAGATACCTATTGTACCTGGGTGTACCAGTGGGGATAGTGTTGTTGGATTTAAAGCTACCTACTGTACCTGTGTGTACCAGTGGAGCTAGTGTTGTTGGATTTAAAGATACATACTGTATCTGGGTGTACCAGTGGGGATAGATAGTGTTGTTGGATTTAAAGATACCTACTGTACCTGGGTGTACCAGTGGGGATAGTGTTGTTGGATTTAAGGATACCTACTGTACCTGGGTGTACCAGTGGAGCTAGTGTTGTTGGATTTAAAGATACCTATTGTACCTGGGTGTACCAGTGGGGCTAGTGTTGTTGGATTTAAAGATACCTACTGTACCTGGGTGTACCAGTTGGGCTAGTGTTGTTGGATGTAAAGATACCTACTGTACCTGGGTGTACCTGTGGAGCTAGTGTTGTTGGATTTAAAGATACCTACTGTACCTGGGTGTACCAGTTGGGCTAGTGTTGTTGGATGTAAAGATACCTACTGTACCTGGGTGTACCAGTTGGGCTAGTGTTGTTGGATGTAAAGATACCTACTGTACCTGGGTGTACCAGTTGGGCTAGTGTTGTTGAATGTAAAGATACCTACTGTACCTGGGTGTACCAGTTGGGCTAGTGTTGTTGGATGTAAAGATACCTACTGTACCTGGGTGTACCTGTGGAGCTAGTGTTGTTGGATTTAAAGCTACCTACTGTACCTGGGTGTACCAGTTGGGCTAGTGTTGTTGGATGTAAAGATACCTACTGTACCTGGGTGTACCTGTGGAGCTAGTGTTGGATGTAAAGCTACCTACTGTACCTGGGTGTACCAGTTGGGCTAGTGTTGTTGGATTTAAAGATACCTACTGTTATTATTATTATTATAATAAAAAAAGAAGGGCTAAATATACTAGGGTCACACAACAAAGCTGTCTACTGCACCTGCATCAGTGGGGCTAATGTTGTTGGGTTTAAAACTATCTACTGCAGGAAACGTTTCGCCACGATTGGTGTAATGTTTTCTTACCTGGAGTCTACCTGGAGGGCATTCCGGGGATCAACGTCCCCGCGGCCCGGTCCACGACCAGGCCTCCCGGTGGATCAGAGCCTGATCAACGAGGCTGTTACTGCTGGCCGCACGTAATCCAACGTACGAACCACAGCCCGGCTGATCCGGCACCGTCTTTAGGTATCTGTCCAGCTCCCTCTTGAAGACAACCAGGGGTCTTCCCGTAATGCCCTTTATTGCTGGTGGGAGGATGTTGAACAGTCTTGGGCCCCGGACACTTATTGTGTTTCTCTTAGTGTACCAGTGACGCCCCTACTTTTCACTGGGGGTATGTTGCATCGCCTGCCAAGTCTTTTGCTTTCGTATGGAGTGATTGCTGTGTGCATATTAGGGACCAGTCCCTCCAGAATCTTCCAGGTGTAGATTATGATATATATCTCTCGCCTGAGCTCTAGTGAGTACAAGTCAAGTGCTTCCAGGCGCTCCCAGTAGTTAAGGTGTTTGATGGAACTTATACGTGCAGTAAAGGTTCTCTGTACATTCTCTAGCTCTGCAATTTCACCTGCCTTGAATGGGGATGTTAATGTACAGCAGTATTCCAGCCTAGAAAGAATAAGTGATTTAAAAAGGATCATCATTGGCTTAGCATCTCTTGTCTTGAATGTTCTCATTATCCATCCTATCAGTTTCCTAGCAGATGTGATAGTGGCATTGTTGTGATCCTTGAAGGTGAGATCCTCTGACATTACCACTCCTAGGCCTTTCACATTACTTTTCCTCTCTATTGTGTGATTGGAGTTTGTAGTATACTCAGTTCTAGTTAATATTTCCTCCAGTTTTCCATGAATTGTACATTAGTGTCCTTTTCTACATCTTGTCCTCATCACCGCACAGTTTACCACCAGAATTGCAGTGTATGCAAACACAGATGCATAAATCTCAGTTTACAAACTCTGTGTTAGCAGTGAAGTAAACACTGCAGTCTCTTCAATACGCAGTTGGCAACACTAAGGTATTTATTGAGAATGAGGATGGGTTGACCACAGAGGTGCGGTGATGTGATTTGCAGGTACTGTACTGCGAGGGTCTTAATATGTTTACCTGAATACCTCCCATGTATGACCTAACGGGTCATACAGCACCTGGGAAATGGAAATTATAATAGCGTCTTCATGAAAATTATAATATATAGCAGTGAATTTCAGGTTCTAACATTTTCCGAATCGAATCACCAAACAAATTACTTTTAGTAAACATTATCCCAAGAGAATTACGTCAACGTATCCATGGTACCACCATAATTTAACACCACTAAATACCATACCCATGCCCAGCCAACCAAGGGAAAGAACTTGGGAACACCCGACTCACTCAGGCAGGCTCGTCCCTCCGCACTCCACCATCACCAGAGCAGCTTTGACTGGGATTTTCATTAATAATTATCGATGTGCCTGCCGGGATCTCGGTGAACTCTTCTGGTGCCCATTTTAGCACATCCCAATTAGTAAGTTTATTTTTAAAATTGCTGCAAGGTATTTTGCCCTGCTTATGAAGTCTTTTTTTAATTGCAAATGATTGTATGGAGAATTTTTACTTAAATTGGGAATAATTAGTTTTATCTTGAGTGGTTAACGTGCATAAGAGTGTAAACCATTGTTACTGGATAGAGCGCTGCATGACCTTTTGTTC